CTTCCATTCCATACCATCTGGATGGCAGATCCCTCATCCCTCCTTGTCCAGGGAAGGACGGGTATTGCAGCTTGGGGCTGCTGGTCACAGTGATAACTGAGAGCTCCCGCCTGTCCGAAGCAGGCGGGCAGAGAGAGCCCGGCGGGCATCTGTGAAGAGGGCTTGTTTTAGGGGTGAGGCAAAGCGTCACACTCCATCGACTATTAATCTGGAGCAGAGACATCAGGATGTTTTGAAACAGCTGCCACCATTTGCCATTCGTAAATGAATGAAGAAGAAAATGTGACCCACTTGGCTGTACTTTGAGATAACCTCCCAGCCACAGGGGCGTCATCCATAGAGTTGAGTGCCTTTGGGATCCCCTAACAGGTGATGTGACTTGTTAAAGGGCACAGAGCTAGGGACTGGCAGAGTTAGGACCACCTTCATTTAAATCATTTCTAAAGTCCAATTTCAAGTGGAAACAATGAACCCCCTCCCCCTGGGGTATAGGTGTTGTCTGCTTGTTGGTGTCAGTTTTCTGTCAAATCAGGCCACAGATTGAAGCCAATGAAAATTTCCAGGGAATATAAGTGCACAAACCATTTATACTTTGTTGTGAATTAATCAGATTTTTGTGCAGTGCAGGGAATGGGAAATTTAAATTTTCGTAAGGAGTGAGGAAAGAGATGAGAGATGAGACATGTAAAGACATGGGAACATTTCCCCTACTAAGTATTCCATACAGTAAATATTTACCGATTTCCTCTAATGTTCCAGATACTGAATCAAGTCCTGGGACTCTAGGGTGGGTGAGACATGAGTCCCATCCTCTACAAGTAGGGTATCATGTTAATTAAGAAATAAGTCGAGCACAGGTTCAGAGGATCATCCACTCTGCTGCTTTTTCCATTCACCCTCCTGCCTGGCCTTTGGGTCACTCTACTTCTTTACGTCTTCTCCATACATTACCGAGCTAAATTCTTAGGAGGAGATAGGGGTTATTTTTTATATCCAATTCACATCATTACTATGGTAATATCACCTTATTCTTTTAAAAGAAACTCATGGGTAGACAGGCCAATAGCCTGTAGGAAGCCTCAAGGAGCAGTAGAGATATGGAATATTTTTCTAATAGACATGATTCCTTCCCCTGCAAAGTTCCCCAAAAGTATACTAACAAGGGTCAGATGGCTGTACAAAGAGCTACTTTGAGCTGTTCAATGTAAAATATTGAACCCACATGTGGGGAGTTCATTTCCTGTTTAAAATTGTTAGGGTTTTCAATATACTTTCCTCCCACCATTCAACATATACAACCCACACTGGCCTTTGTGAGTCCAAATAGCTGTCCCAGTTATAATTGGCAAGCTAACATCAGAAGGAATAGTGCTAGCAACAGATCCTCTGAAAAAGTCTGGCAATATTTATAAAAATTAATGCAATTTTCAGCACCTTTTGCCTCATCTCCAGCCTTCCCTGAATTAAAACATTCTTTTCAATTAACTTGACAAGATAGTAACAAGCCCACAAGTTCATTTTCAGCAGTAGATGATTCACAAACAAGATGCTGACAGGTTTTTATGATTATACATTCCAAGAATCCTGGTTTCACAAAAGTGCTCATAGAGATTGATAGATATTTTAAAAAGAAATAAACAAAGAAACAGAGAGATATAAATAAGCTTTTTCATTAGAATGAATGATATAAAATATTGACCTCACCTATCAGCACTCTTCCTTTTGTGAGCTTTCTATTTCGTTGTCTTTGACCTGCAATCATGGTCTTTATAGGAAATAGTGAGCAAAAAAGGCTGAGAAATAACTCAGAAGATGGGTGGCTGGAAATAAATGTTTCCTCAAGCATTTAGTACCTTTCATAAATGTCCATCACTGAAATGCTAGTCCCACAGAAGCACTTAGCAGTGCAGAGAAGAAAAGCAGGTAGCTGTTATTAATTTTAAGGCTGGCTGACAGCTTTCAGTCCAAGAGAAAGGCTTAACTTTGCATTCTGAATAATGCAGAGATTTTCATTAGTTGGACTAGGAAATGATAAATAATACATTGTCTGCCAAAATACTGTGACATTGCATTATATATTTGCAGTTACCTTTCAGAATAAGCTTTCCAGAAGTGTACTTAGACAAATTGGAAAGCTAGCAGTATTGTTTTCTTATTTTATGTTTTGCTTTTGGAAAAACAATTAAAAAGACATGTCTTCTTGGCTGTGGGTTGGTAATGTCACATCCGAAGGGCAGTCCATTGTTGCACCTAAAAAGCTATGTGTTGGCACAAATTGTACTAGTCTATGAGATCATTGCAATTGGTTTCATAGATTTCTTTTTGCTCACATCTGCCTTCTGGAGACTCTGGGACAATTCAATTACAAGTGCACTTTTGATTCCTACTTCTATCAATAAAAAATATAAAATTACCCTTGCTTGAGAACTATCAGGCTAAAAGGTTTGCGATTGCTTTTCACTGTCATCTCTCTTCCAGCAGATTATCATGTCAGGTTGGTCTAGGGCATGTTTACTTTGTTTTGAGCACACAAGACTCTTTCTGACTCTAAGTATTATTTGAATTGATGGTAACGCAACTACTATATCCAGATGTCTCTTGGTAACTTAATGCATGGCCCCAATAACAAACACTAGAATTAAGCCGTTAATGGAATAGGCTGCTAGCAGCTGCTTCAATCCCAGTTTGATGGGCATTAAAATAGCTGATTCAGAGATTTCTATAGAGAAACTTAAGCTAATTAAAGACACCAAAGTCAATGGAGCTATAATATCTGCCAGTATCATACAATCTATATACACTGACATTAATACTCTAAGAGAAGGCTAACAGAAGGTCAAAAAACATTTACTTAATTTAGATGAGCCTTTTATTATGCATGTCATTTTGCATTTTCCAGTTTTGCTTAAAATCACAGGTCTCCAAGAAAAGTCCTTTCCATATTTATTGTACTAGATAAAGAAGATTATCGATTATTCTGCCTTTTCTCACACAATGAGGCAGGAGGGAGCATTAGCATTGTTTGAGAGCCTCCAACCAACTCGAGGAGGAAAAGGAAGAGGACCCTTTCAGTACCTGCTCAGTATGGGATTTAGTTGAGATTTATCATTCATGGTTTCAGTTTTTTGAAGTATTTATTCATCCCCAATTTTAATCATTTCCTTTTGGTCCTGATTCCAGGTAAAGCTGTTATATTCAACCAGCTGTTTAAGCTGTGAGTTGGAGGCAGGCTGCTGACTTTTTGTACATTAACATCAGATTGTGGAACTAACTACTCATGGAACTCCCGAGAATCTACTTTTGTTGTTGTTGTTGTTAATCCTCACCTGAGGATATTTTTTCCACTGCTTTTCAGAGAGAGAGAGAGAG